AGTGGTTGGCTGGATTAAACCAACTCTTAGTACTCTTTAGCCAAAGTAAGGACATCGGCTAAAAGAGTGGTTGGCTGGATTAAACCAACTTTTAGTACTCTTTAGCCGAAGTAAGGACATCGGCTAAAGAGTGGTTGGCTAGTAAGCTCAGTCAGATTGCTTAACTGAGACCGGAATAAAATATCTCGGCCACACTACTATTAGAAAGCAAGCTCAAAACAGGAATTTAAACCAAGATAACAGTTGGAAGTGAAAAGATCATAGAAAAGTCATTACAAGTACAAACATGCAGATCAACCGAAATAAGAGTTCAATACAAAAAAAAATTCATTCATCAAAGAGCAATTACAAAGGGGGGCCCATAGCCCTGTTACAAGAGCAAAAAGTTACAAAAGAAACAAGAAAAAGTGCAAAATCAGCTAAAAAGGTCTTCAAGGTCGGCGTCAATATCAACTTGAGCACCGGTTGTAGATGGAAGATTAGTCTCAGTAGCAACTATGTCAGTCGGCGACTCAACAGTCAGGTCTTCAACCGTTGGCTCCAACCGAGCTGACTAATCGTTGCTTTACTCATTAACTACCGGAGTAACAGTTGGTTCATTTTTTTCATCTTCATCATCTGAACCCTGCAAAAATTGTTGTTGGACAGAAGCAGCATATTCCGCTAGTGAGGCCGGAATGAAGTACTGCGGAGCATTGTAGACCTCGGTTTCGGGCCCACAGCCGAGCTGTTCCACAGCACTTCTCCAGCCACACTTAAAAAATAAGTCCTTCGCCCCCTCACATTGCGGAATGTAGAGGCCTTTTGCCTCCTTGAAACCTTCGGCGTTGGCATCTCCCACCTTCTTTTTCAGTTCGGCTATTTCGGCGTCCTTTTTCCCTTCAAGCTTGACTAGCTCACGAAGGTACTTGTCTTTCATTACGATCAACACCTTCTGTTTGTCAGCTTCAGCCGAGGTAACTAGTCCGGTTAGACGAGCTACCTCAGTCTGTAGCTCGGCCGTCTTTTTGTGGGATTCCCTTAGCTCGGTTGTTTTTTCTTCAACCTCTACCAAGGCTTGCCTAGCCGTTTTCCTGAGCTCCAATACCTTTTGATGGGCAATTTGGCTCTTCTGAAGAGACTGAAATGAATGGAAAGAAATCAATAACGAAACCGAACTAAAAGTTAGAAATTTTTTTTAGACAAAGGGGCAACTTACCATGATCATGGATTTAGTGGCCGATCGGATGGCCTTTAGCTCGGTCAGATTCTGGTGGTGTTCCATGTCTGCTGGAAGGCAAACACTCTTGGCAAGATTGAAGGCCATCAAGTGATCCTTCTCAGCAACCACCGAATCGGTATCTTGAATAAGGCGGTTCTGAAATTTCAGCTTCGGTGCCCACCTGGAAGAGCCAGCCCGGTCAGAAGGTTCCGATTGTGAAATCGGTGGAGGCGTAGTTTCGTGCTCGCCCTCTAGACGCTGCTCAGTCGGGATAGACCGGGCGCGCTTGGATGGGCGTGATGAAGAAGGCTGTTGAGAAGAAAGGGCCACAACGGCAGGTTGCGTCTGGCTTGGTGGCGGTACTTCGGGTCTGTTGGTCTCGGTCAATAACGCTCTAACTCTATTTCTCTTGGCCATTTCTTCTTCAGCGGTCAGTGGGATTAGTCTGATTTCTGACAAGGTTGGGTCCGGTTCTGGGGCGTCCTCTAGCAGAAAGTTGGTCACTCTCGCTTTTCGGCGGCCGCTGTATCTATAGGTCGGTTCGAACTTTAGTAGCTTGGCCCAACTACGTTCTGGATACCATAGTGCGGCGCGCAAGATCGCTAGATTTGGGTAACTATATAGAGAACGGAGGTGGGCAGAATCTACAAAGGAAGACAACTATTAGTTCGGCTGAAAAATTGAAAACTGAAATATTGTAAAGTACACAAGAAAATCGAAGTAATTATACCAGGTGTTCCTTTTTTCCAATTGATGCTTTGGCCAGGGATCTGGGCATGGTGATCCTCAAAGTTCCCAGACACCCAGAAAAAATCGTCGTCATTCAAGTCTTTATCTGGTGTGTTTTTTATTATTTTCTCACGACGACGGCGTATTCTAAGATAGTACACCCAGCCATCTTCCTTCGAACCAATGGAGTATTGGTGAAAGATTTCGGCCAGACCGAGGTTGCGACCGGCTTGACGGTTTAGTTCGGCTATTCCCATAATTATACGGTATGAATTGGTGGATAGTTGGGTTGGGCATAGTCTAGTTTGCCTAAGAAACTCACAAATTAAGGGTTGGACTGGAAATCGTAGTCCGGTTTCAATTATGGACAAGAGGGTGAAGGGGACAAAGCCTTCATTCCCCCAGGGTATGACATCTTTTTCTGCCAAAATCTTAGCCCGGTTTCTATTATTGAAACGCCCTGGTTGCCCCAAGGTATGACATCTTTTTCGGCTAAGATTAGGTGGACGTCGTCGGGTATATTGTAATCTTTTCGGAATTCGGCTAGACCGCCCGGAGTATTTACTAAAAATCTATACTTCCCCATTTATTTTATAAGTTATGAATAAATTAGTTCGGTCCAAAAATTGTGCTCAGTAGCTCGGTTGAGCGCGCAGAGGAGTGCCTGGGCAACTTAAGTCTGCAAAGTGAAGAACAAAGGTGTTAAGCACAGATCATTGGGCTGTGCTACGAATTAAAAGCAAGATAAAAAGAAATCCTACTTCGACTGTGTGGGATGCTACAGGTTCTGTCTCGGTTTCTGCAAGGTAATTGGTAGCTCGGTTTGAGTAGGGCTTTTACTAGCTCGGCCTTGGCAAGCGTCTCGATATCTCGGTTGTGAAAACGGTTCTGTTTGACTGGTTGATCGTCTAGGGGCAGATTTATGAGTTCCGTCTAAAAAACTAAGAAAGCTGGTTTAGCCTCAAGGCCTAGATCGGTTGGAGGTTAGGTATCTCAGTATGCTAAGTGCAAACTTAGTTCGGTTGGTTACCTCGGCTGAGGTAACACAAGAGGTGGTTTGACTTATTAAAACTACTGGTGTAAACTGACTAGACTTTTACCTAGCTTAAATAGTGTCCTAGTTCGGTTGCATCATGATTTTGGATCAAAAACCAGTTTTCTACAGGATATTGCATGTACTCATGTGTTCTATTGTTAAGTTTTTTCCAGAAAAGTACAGAGCAAAGCGAAATGGAAAAATATGTTTTGCAAAAACACAGAAAACAAAATACGAAAACAAAGTAGATGTACAGTGCTTACCCGATGAAGAGGCAAGAGTTGTAGAGAGAATAACAGCTATGGAGAACACGAGCTTAGAAAGTTGAAGAAGCAATGAAGGCTCAGAGAGGGAAAAGTTGCAAAGTGTGTCAAAATGAAGAGGCTCGTTTTAGGTAAAGGGAAAAAGGCGGGACTGTTCAAATTTCACGAAGTACGAAGACGGCGTGACAGCCGTCCTCAGTCAATCAGAGCATGCCACGTGCCATTAGAATGGAAAGCGTTTCAGTTTCTATGATTGAAGAGACGTTACTACCGGACAACCAGAGCTCGGTGTGAAAGTAGCTCGGCTGGATAGGCTAAAAATCTATAGCTCGGCTAGTTGACAGATAATCCCAATCATGCTAGGCAGATGGAATTAAGGGGCAATTGAGAGGGTAATTTATGTGAAAATTGGGCCGAGTTGGGTAATGGGCCGTTATGAGCCGCAGTATAAAGGGCCGAGTTAAATGGCCATGTAAGTTACTCCGGTCATGTGGATATTTTGAAGTTAGTCCGGTCCTAAGGCCGTGAAGCTAGTCCGGTCCGATAGAAGATCGAAGTTAGATCGGTCTAACGGTACTTTGGAGTTAGACCGGTCTTGGAGTTACACCGGTGATGACATGTTAGTTCGGTCTAACCACACCATGGGTTGTGCAGGAGAAGCCGACGTAAGAGCAGTAAAAGGAAGAGCTAGTTCGGCTTATTCTGCGGCTATGCATAGTCATGTTTACTTCGGTCATATTGGAGTTCGGCCATGATAAAACCATCTCACTTGGTTTAAGCAGTGAGGGGGGTGTTGAAGGATAAGCATTATCTTTCAGGAGTATGAATCCTAGGAGGACTCTGCATGGAGAAGTAAAAGTCCTACTAGGATTGTGCCACACGAAATCTATAAGAGCTCACAAACATCACCTTTGGAGAGGTAACACAACTTTGTTTTCTGA